GTGTTGTTCCCACTCATGTAGGAAGCAAGGCATAAAGGAATGTCCCTGCCTGGCTGCAGCAGCCTCTGGGGCATCCAGTGCAGCATGGCCTCTACTACCAGTGACTAGAGGAAGAGGGAGAGCTCCTGAGACCTGAACAAAACCAATCACAAAACTAGGCAAGAATTTCTTTAGAGTTTAACTAAGAATGCAATACTATTTCCAGCCAGTTTCCCATCTCGATAGTCACGTAACAAACCAAGGCAATGACGGTCTTTAGTTGACTGAACAGTTCTCAAGTTCAAACGTTGACACTTAATAGAGGGTCTCAGCATTGCTGCTCCGAGGCCTCTTGATCTTCTCAATGTTTTTAAGGATCATGTCATGCAAAGTGACCTGCAAAAGGGAAGAACAGGACTAAGACAGGAAGCCATCCAGCACTGGTTACCACAGCAGCACCACTGCCCTTGGCACCACCCTCAACCCTTGTGTGCAAGCACACACCTGGTTAAGGTAAGGGCTTCCTTCAGCCAGACCTTACAGAAGCCAGTACATGTAATACCAAAAACATTTATTCAAAAACCCTAGGACTGGCTTGTACTGTAAGAAGAGCTTAGGATCAGATTCCCACAAAGGGGGCACAAATATTTTGCAGTAGGACCCCGTGAACACCGCTGGAAACATCTGCATCTCTAGGAGATGGTGGAGAAGCAACAGTTGGTTCATCTGGCTGGAGCCAAAGCGGGAAGCAGGCAGCGGGAGTGCTCAGGGGGAAAGGGGAGAGGAGCAGCAGCAGAATCACAAGGGCCCTCCTGCTGCATGAGGAGCCAGTGTGAGCTCTGTGTTTTCACTTACATACTGATTTCTCAGCTCTGAAATGATGAGGCGCAGACTAATGTACTCCTTCTCGTCGATCTCCGTCACGGTGCGGCGATAATCCTCCTGCCGGGAGCAGACGCGGCTCAGCGGCCGAGCTCAGCCCGGCCTCCCACACTCTGCCCTCCACAGAGGAGCCCCACACCTCCAGCTTGCTGCCCTCAATCCTTGTACGATCCCCCCTCTTCCCTCAGGACCCTCAGCTCAGAAAGGACAGTGACAAAGCAGCTCAAAGAGTCCCAGGAAGCAGCAGTGTAACCATGTAAATCTCCATGTCCCTGCTGACTTACCACATGAGGGTACTTGGCTATTTTGGACACCAACTTTGCCCTTGTGATATAGTATCTGGCAGGAAAAGAGAGATTAAAGCTCAGATAAACAGCACCAGGATTATTTTCAGGTCCAAGCTGCCCTGTAACAACAGCTGGGGGACCTTTCCCAAACACACTCCTTTTCCAAGGAGATCCCAGAAAAGAAGTCTGTTCTTGCACCCCTACCTAGAAATCTGGTCCAGGTAAGACGCTGCCTCACTCTCCACAGTCCGAAGCTCAGCAACTGTTTCTTCCTGCAGGGAAGACAAGGAAGCCATTAGCTCCAGTAGGCTGCAGCTGGCTTTCAGGGCTCGGGAAGCACTGTCTCAGCAGCACCACATCAAGCTCAGGTCTGGGTTTTAAAACCTAATGTAACCCCAGGACTGCAGCTGCTGGACACCATGAACTGGAAGATTCAGAGAAATCCCGAAGATACAAGTCCCTGGACCACCAAGCAGTGCCTTACCTGAATAGAAACACCAAAATTGTTCCCATCCTCTATCCTGGGAATGAGAAGCTGCACCCACATTTTGACCTGCAGTGGAGAGATCACAACACTGACCAATGCCAACACCTGCACAATGACTTCTCTCGGGAACGTCAGCAAAAGCCTCCTGCCTTTGCCACACAGCTCATGGTAACCTGCTGCAGGTCCCTCATGCACCTATAACACTTCCAAGATCATTTTCCATGGCTGGGATGCCATGAAAGCCAGCACAGGCCCAGCCTCCCATGGGAAGCTCTCCTCACCATGCCACAGGAGCTCTTGTTGGGAGTCTGTGCCTGTGCAAAAGATGGGCAAAGCAAAGCCTCATGAGGCCTGGTGCCAGATATCCTTCTTCAGGTGAACAGAGCTCCCCAAGGGTTTCACCTGCCTCCCAGCCCCTGTCAGACAGAACAAAGCCCTGCTTTTCCTCATCCACAGCACAGAGAGACCTGCTCCTTTCACAGCTCCACCTCTCCAGGAGTAAAACCACCCTGCTGCCTCCCCTCTCTCCAGGCTCACACCCACCGTATTGCACTTCTCAATGAGCAGCCTGATTTCTGGCTTCACTTTCTCGATGATGTCCACCAGCTGCTGGTTGCTCTTCAGCATCCCATTGGGCATCACAAACACTTTGGTACCTGTGGCAGAGACAAAGCCCCAGCGTCAGCGACTGGCAGGGACGGCTGCAGCAGGGTCGGATGGAGGGGCCACCTGAGGCTCACTCATCTCCCACCAAGGCCACAAAGGGACTGAGCCAGGCTGTGGCCACCTGTAGGGAAGGGGAAACGGGACAGCAGTGACCACAAGGGAAGGAAAAGAGAAAACACAGAGCAGGATGAGACTGAAGAGCTCGAGGATGCTGAGCACAAAGGGTTTTCCTGGTGCACACGTACAAGAAGTTTCTGTCTCAGCTTAATCCAAAGCCTGGAATCTTCTTCCAGACAAAGAGAGGAACTGCACAGAGCCACCAGGAGCTCAGCTGCCTCTGTCAGCAGGCCAAGATCCAGCCAAGTACTACTTATGTCTATCAGAGAACTACTAATTATGCTTCTAAGAGCTGGAAGCGACTCCTCCACATCAAAACATCTGTAGGTCAGGCTCTGGCCTGTATGAGCAGCAGCTGCTGTCAGGGCAGGGCAAGTGGGGCTCACATGATTTGCATCCCCAAGGCTCAGTGCAGCAGTTCAGGGGACAGGCAGCAACACAAGGGACTCGGGGATTCTTACCCTGAAAGGTCTCTTCGTGGTCTTCCAGCTTCCTCTTTTTCATATTTGGCTAAAATATACAAAATGTTTTACTCACAAACTAGTCGTAAGCTGTAAAAGCGTTGCAAAGGACAAAAAGGAAAGCTTAAGAGCCCTGCCATGTTCCTGGTTTCTAAGCATTCTTCCTTAAAGCCCAGGAAGGACTGCAGAGCACTGTTACCTCCAGCAGACTTTCCAGGCTTGAGAGATCAATCTCCAAAATCTCTGTTATTAAATAAGAATATCCTACCCCAGCACAGAGCAAACCATGCAGTTTTAACAGAAGCTGGGATCACAGCCAAGAGAGTAACCTTACCCCATCCAGTCCATCGTGGCTGTTGGTGAGAAGAATTGGGTCAGGCACTGGGAGGTTCATGTCCGAATGGATCTGAGTAAGATCATGAATATTCAGGATGGGTTCCTGCAAAACAAAGCAGATTTGTTATTTTATTGTGAACTAATAAAGTCTGCCATCCCAAACACAATGAGAAGACAAGAGATTCAGGCATCCCCCTTGTCCAACTGTAAAATTAGGATGAATGACAATAAAAGGTCTGGCAATAGGCTGTGACCCCTCCAACCCAGGAGTGCCAGGCCATGGTCAGTGGTGTCCCTGTGAGACCCCAGCACTGCCAGGGACAGCCCCCTGGGGAACGTGGAGAAAGATAAATGTGAGAGATCACACAAAGCAAACTGCAAAAGGCACCACCCCTCCAGAGCCAACAGCACTGCAGTGCATGTGAGCAACCAGCGGCTGCCTTGTGTCCCTGCAACAAGGTGAAGTGCACAGAAAACACCCCTGAAGAGACCTGCCACGCCACTTCCGAAATGGAGTTGAAAATGGAAAAGGATACAGAGCACAAGGCACACCCTACCTTAAGGAATCCATCGAGTTCTAACAGCTTCTTTGGAAAAAAATTTGCTACGAGGTCTTCAGCCTAAGAAAGAAAGAACAAACAGTGATGTGAAAGGCCACACATCTCCCATTAGCACGCAACAACACCAGGGAAATCATCTGTATGTAAGCAGGAAATGAAGAGAAGGGAAGCTGTTCCTGCTGCCAAAACCAAACAAAGCCCAGGTAAGAAGAGAGCCACGAGGCTCAGGAACCTCACTGCCGTGGGTGAATGATGCCCTGGGTGTTGCTAAGTCTCCAGGGCAGGCTCAACTCACAATCGAGTTTGTCAGAAAAATACGAACAAAAAACCTCTTTCCTACACACCCTGTGACACTCACCTCACTCGTGATGCGCTCCCTGAAGGAGTCAACCTACAGAACGAAACAGGGACAGGTCAGGGCCGCTCTCGAGCAGCGGGGCCCGGGGAGGCCGCGCACCGACCCTCGCAGCACGGGAACCGGGAGGAGCCCGCGAACACCGAGCGGGCGCTGCCCGGGGACACCCGGAGCGGCTCCGGGCGCTGCGGGGAGCTGCAAACCGCGCAGCTCCCGCCGGGGTGGAAGAACCACCGGGCCGCCCCGGGCCAGCGGCCGCGCTCTGCCGGGCACGGCTCGGGGGCGGCCACAGCGCGGCCCCGGCCGCATCCCCGCCCGCCCGGCAGCGCAGGGCCGGCCGGGGTGGAGACACCGCGGGCTCGTCGGGGCGGGCGGGCCGCGCTCGAGGGTCAGGGTGGAACGGCCGGGAGGCACCGTGGGGCGGCCCCAAGCCCGCCCCGCCCCGGGCCGGGCCGGCGCCAGCAGAGCTCAGCGCGGGCCGGCAGGGCGGAGGCGGCAGCCCAGCCCGGCAGAGCCGAGCCGGGCTGGGCCGAGCAGAGCCGGGCCGGGCCGGGCGAGGCGGGGCAAGCAGCGGAGCGGGCGCACCTTGAGCTTCACCTCCGGGTCCACCTTGAGCAGCGAGGCCATGGCGGGTCCGGTCTGGGGGCCGCTCCGCTTCCCCGGGCCCACACCGGAAGTGACCTCACGCCGCGCGCCCGCCAATGCCGCGCGCGCCCGCCGCCCGCGTGACGCTCCCCGCGCGCACGCGCCGCCGGGTCCTGGCCGCTGAGCGCCGCCCGGGGCGGGCACACGGAAAATGGCGCGGGCGGCCCGCGCAGCCCTGCCAGGACCGCGCCCCAACTGCGTCACGTCCGGCGCGCGGCGATGGCGGGGAGCGCGCGGGCGGCGCGATGGAGGGAGCGCGGGCGGGCGGCGGCACCGCGCACGTCAGCTTCGTGTGCCAGCGCTGCTGCCAGCCGCTCAAGCTCGACACCTCCTTCAAGGTCCTTGACCGCCTCACCATCCAGGAGCTCACCGGTACCGCGGCGCGCTGGGGTGGCGGGCCGGGGCAGGGGCCCGGGCCTAGGCCTGGGCCCGGCTGACGCCTTCTCTCCCACAGCCCCGCTGGTGACCGCCGCCCCTGCCAGGCCCGGGGACCTGCACGAAGAGGAGAGCGCTCTGACCGAGGTACGGCGGGGCCGGGCGCGGCGGCGGCTCCCCCGGGCCCTCCGGTAACGATGCTTCTCGCCTCCAGGAAGCCTTCGTGGAGAACCGGCAGGATGGCGTGTCCAGGAGGTTCATCCCGCCAGCCAGGTACAGCCGCTGCCGCACTCCCGGCAGGCCCGGCCCAGCTCGGAGCCTGGCCTCTCCCTCCGGGCAGCTTGAGCCGACGCTGCGGCCGCGCCTGAGAAAGCCTCCCCGTGGAGGGGGTCACACTGAATAGCTCCTGTGACCTCCCAGAGTTTCCCCGGCAGGAGCCCCGTGGTGCCTCCGGGCTCCCTGGCAGTCTGAACACAAGTGCACAGTCCTTGGGGCACTGCTCCTCAGCTGTGGGTCAGCACAAACCTGACAGAGCCCCCAAAATGGGTTGCCCCTGCTCTCCCTTTTCTCTGACCCAGCCCCAGATTATGGTTGGTGCTGGAGTTGCCTCCCCTCAGCACTTAGCACTCATCTCAGTAACATTCTCTCCAAGAATGATGTCAACAGAAAGTGCCAACAGTTTCACGCTGATCGGAGAGGCCTCGGATGGTGGCACGATGGAAAACCTCAGCCGGAGACTGAAGGCAAGTGGTCGTGAGCTGGTAACTCAGATCCTTGGGAACACAGCATCAGTTCTTCCTGATGCCATCCAAAACTAAACTGCAAAGTTTCCCATAGCATTTGCCTTCCAGGGGCTTGGTTGGTGAGTAGTTGAGCAGAGATAGATTATTTTAATCAATATTTGACCTGCAAAGAAGACTTCTGCTAGCTGAAGCTGCTGAAAAGCAGCAGGCAGCTGCCTGTGGTTTCACGTGCACTAATGTGAGCCCTTCCTCCAGGTCACCGGCGACCTCTTTGACATCATGTCTGGGCAGACGGATGTGGATCACCCGCTGTGTGAGGAGTGCACTGACACTCTGCTGGACCAGCTGGACACACAGCTCAACATCACGGAGAATGAGTGCCAGAACTACAAGTGAGTGATCCAGAAATGACCCAAGACAGAGCTGCTGTAGCTTGAGGCACCATGAGCGTGGAGAGCTCAGGGCTGACAAGAGGTGCAGGGGCTGCCAAGGAACTGGGGACTGACAGTGCAGGGCTTACCAGGATACCTGTGTCGGTAATCCTGTTGTTCTCCTTCAGGAGATGTCTGGAAATACTGGAACAGATGAACGAGGATGATAAAGAGAAGCTGCAGACAGAGCTGAAGGAACTGGCACTGGAGGAAGAGCGGCTGATTCAGGAGCTGGAGGATGTTGAGAAGAACCGCAAGATTGTGGCTGAGGACTTTGAGAGAGTCAGGGCAGAGGCCGAGCGGCTGGAGCAGGAGGAGGCTCAGTGAGTGAACTGCACCTGCAGCTTGTGGCAGGGGTTGGAGGCAACAGATAAATGAAGTTGTAACGTGAGAATCCTGTAAATGTGCCCAAATGCCAGTGGCTCGCTCTCTGCAGAAGGAAAGGTGGCGAGACCAAACTGGCCCACAGAGTTGTCACTCTGATGTAGAATCCAGCACTCAGCACTTCTTGTCTTGCTTTTGCTCAAAGGTATCAGAAGGAATACTGTGAGTTCAAGAGGCAACAGCTGGAGCTGGATGATGAGCTGAAAAGTGTGGACAACCAAATGCGCTATGCCCAGATGCAGTTGGATAAATTAAAGAAAACCAACGTGTTTAATGCAACCTTTCACATCTGGTAATGTAGACACTGGAATATTATATCCATGTTCATGGAATCTGCAGTGTGAGCCTTTTAAGTCACTGCTTTTGACAGGAAAGGTGCAAGCCAGCTCACAGTTAGCTCACAGCAAAGCAGTGAATGCCACTTCCCAGGAGTGGCAGCTGAGTAAGGTGTGCCAGGCTGTGGGACTGGGAAATGACTCCTTCAATCCCAGTAACACTTTGGGAGCCCCTCTGCCAGCCAGCGGTGACACTGGCATTAGGGTTCACAGAGCAGGCAGTGTAGAGAGGCTGGCTAGGGGTTTTTGTTGTGTTTTTATGACAAAAAGAGAACAAGTGTTTGGTATTTACATACATTAGTTAAGAATAGGCACAAACCCTCTGTGTGCACGTCTGGCACTGTGTGTGCTGTGCTGTTGGGACATGGCCCCTATTTGGTTATCAGGCCAGGAGCTTTTCCCAGCCTAGCACACTTATTTATAATTCTTCTTATCACAGGCACAGCGGGCAGTTTGGCACAATAAATAACTTCAGGCTTGGCCGACTCCCCAGCGTTCCTGTGGAATGGAACGAGATCAACGCTGCCTGGGGGCAGACTGTGCTGCTGCTGCATGCCCTGGCCAACAAAATGGGCCTGAAGTTTCAGAGGTGTGTGCAATACCACACACAGTTCATTTGTGACTCAGAGGAAGACAGGCAGACTCAGGTGCCTGTGAATTGTCTCCTTTTTTCAGATACCGTCTTGTCCCCTTTGGTAACCACTCCTACTTGGAATCCCTTACTGACAAATCCAAGGTAAGAGATCCCATACAAATAATGGGACGTCGACCTTGAGTGACAGAGCCCTGGTCACAGTGGGGATAAAAGAAACAAAACTTGGTCTCTGTGAATGTGGAGTCTGGGAAAGCTGACTGCCCCAGCTCCTCCAGCATGGTAACATCTCACTCCACATCCTGTATGAGGCCACTGGTGCTGCCTGCCAGCAGTGTTAAAAGTGACAGAACTGTTGAATAACACACCTGGCCAGAGGCAGAGGCCTGCTTTGGGGTGATTGGCAGGTAGATGGCCTGATTTGGGATTGGTGGAAGTCAGGAATGTATGCCTGCACATGGTAGGCACAGTCACACTTGCTCTGTGCCACAAGCCATTCCCCAGCATCCCATGACAAATTTAAGCCTCACATGAGGTTAAAAAGCTGCAGTGACCATATCAAAAACAAGTGCTTGGGGTGCCTGATACAAATCTCTCTTCCAGGAGCTTCCCCTGTACTGCTCTGGAGGCTTGAGGTTCTTCTGGGACAATAAGTTTGATCACGCCATGGTGGCGTTCCTGGACTGTGTGCAGCAGTTTAAAGAGGAAGTGGAAAAAGGTGAAACCCGGTTTTGTTTGCCTTACAGGTGAGTGCTGCCACAAAACTGTGAAATTCAGCCCTTTATGCTCCCCCTAGAACTGCTTGCTGTTTCAGTCCTGACTTTCAGAAATCATCTGGAATTCTTTATGATGTGTGTTTGCTAATTTCATTGAAACTTGAAGTCAGCCCCTTGAGTGGAGTCCTGAGACTTGCTAAAGTCCTTTTAAAAACAGCACAGCATTCTTGTCAGATTTAAAATTTACTGCTTGATGTCATACTGAGATTAAATGTTTGCAGTAGGAGTGCACTAACTAAAGCTTGTGTGTGATACAGGATGGATGTGGAGAAAGGAAAGATTGAAGACACAGGTGGCAGCGGTGGCTCTTACTCAATTAAAACACAATTTAACTCTGAAGAGCAATGGACAAAAGCACTAAAATTCATGTTAACTAACCTGAAATGGGGCCTTGCCTGGGTCTCATCCCAATTCTATAACAAGTAACTGTGGTCAGAACTTGGCCTAGCAGCTGTGGAGTGTCTGCATTGTGTTGGAGAAAAGCAAATTAAGATGTCTCTTAATATTAACCAGTACAAAATGTTTACAATACCAAAAATCCACAAGACACTTTAATAAAAATACCATTATTACATGTAGTTTATAGAAAAGCAATATGCAAAGTTGTATCACCGAGCTGAACAGAATAAAACCCAGCTATTAAATGTGTTCTACACTCTTATTTTTGGGGTTTGTGGCCATGCACGTAAATCACTGTCAAACTTCAGAACACCCATCAGTTTGATGCTGCTCTCTTACAGCTCATGGAAGGTTGGAAAAGCAGAATGTTACAAACATGGGGAATGATGTGGGAAAACTGCCAGAGCTCTGCCTGGTCATTAAAGAGCACTACAGTTTGAAATAAAGTATTTTCTAAGTCATATTATCACTTCTTTTTGTTACTGAACTTGACAAGTGTATAACAACATTACAACACTGTAATCCCTCCTGCAGCCTGTTCCTGCACAGGGCTGCAGTGAGGGAACAATGAAATACTCCACACTCCAGGTGTTTCCAGCCAGCAGTGCCTCCCACAGCACAAAGCTCTGGCACTCAGGACACACAGGCTGGGCACTGCTGTGGTGACAGGCACAGCACTGGCCCCAGTGTCCTCATCACAGCGCTGGTCACTGCTGGCTGTGGGAGGGCAGGAGCAAACAGGCTCCAGGTGCTGGCACAGAGGGGACAATCACAGGCAGCTGAGACAGGGGTTTTATAAAAGCAGCAAGAGGAGACAGCGCAGCCCCATTTGTAACACAGGTGTGAGAGCTGGTGCCAGCAATCCCTGTCCCAGCTGAGAGCCAGGCAGGGCAGCACTTCTCAAACACAACTACTCTGAGGGGTCTCTTTGGTCAAAGGAAACTTAGATTCAAAACTTAAAAGATGCAGCTCTTACAGTAAAGCTTTTAGGACATTTCTGAACACTGTGGTGCTGTTGGGTCTCTCTTCAGAGCATGAGTGTGATGCCTAGCAGGACAAGCCTTGCTAATTAACACGTGACTGACAGGCTGTTCCAGAATTCAGGTAACCCTGAGCCGTGCTGGGTGCCTGGGCAGTGTCACAGAGGAGGGACTGTTGTCAGCAGCGTGACAGTTCCTGCTCTGGGCCAGTGACTGGATGGACAGGGTGGTTCTACGTCTGAGGCAGAATTCTGTCCTCAGGAGATTTGGTTCCACAGTTCCCATGGTGCTGCTCAGGTGTGGTGCTGCCAACTATGCGCTTCACCACGGCGTAGGAGAACTCCAGGATACTTTGTGAAGTAATGCCAGTGATGCAGTTTAAATGCTCCACAACCTGGAAAAAAGAAAAGATACAGCACCTAAAGACTGTGAGCTTACAGACTGACAAGAGTAACTGCTCCATGGACACATTTCACAGGGAGTTGTCCCATGAGATGGCTCCTCTACCTGCCAGTGAAACATTGTGGGGTTTTGTTCTGGCTGTGAAGCACTGAAGGCAAGGACGCTCACCAGTGCCACGCTGCACACAGAACTGCCCCACGCCCTCAGCTCTGACAGAAGCCCACATGCTTCCTGCTAAAAAGACAGGTGTCCCCTCCCTCATGCCACTCCCAGTGCAGCCCCATTTGCTGTGCTGAAACAGATAAACCACCTTGGCATTGTTCCTGTAGAGCCAACGCCTTCAGCAGCGACTGTACCTGATCCCAGTGCCTGAGGCTCAGGATGAACACACCTGTGCTGATGACTCCAACAGCCAAGAGCATGAAATCTTCCTTCACTGTTAAAAACTTGGCTCTGCAGAAGGAAAAGCATGTTCAGGTGTAAAATGCTGTCTCACAGTTCAGAAGCACCTGCTGCTGCAGTTGCCAATGCCCAGGACATGTTGGCTTGTTCAGGCCAACCAAAGCCCAACACCAGAAGCTGGAACTGACAGTGCAAGGCTGGGTTTTAACAACCAAGTGAAAAGCTTTCCATGCCTGTGGAGCAGCTGTGGGAAAGCATGTTGCTTTGAACTGGTGTATTCAGAAACGATGAATACCCCTCAAATTAGTGTTGTTTTTTTTTTTTAAACATGCCCCTAAAATGACATAATGAGAGTTATGCTGCTATTTATTAGCTTTTTTAAGGGTTTTAATTTCAAAGTGTTATTTGAAGTCATTGTCAGGTAAGGCACTTACATCTGCAGCTCGCTTGGTGTGGAGTTGTCGATGGCAATCTTCAGCAAAGTGTCGTAGATGGTCTCTCTGGTCAGGTAGCAGAAGTCCAGCAGCTGCACACACAGCTGGTGTAAGGGTTTGTCAGGAAGCAAGCAGCCATTGTATCCTACCAGAGATCACACCATCAGTCCCACATTTTGGGTCACTAAACTGAATTAGGAGTGTTAGGTACTGTAAGGGAGAGAGAATTCTGAGGACAGCTGCCCTGTCTGAATGCCACAGGGTCCCTCGGCCTCAATAACATTTCACTCTGAAATTCAGGCCATCAGACTTGGGCCAAGAAAATGGTAGAAATGATTGTAGAAAATGGCACCAGGTTTGGGGGCTTTAAACTTAATCTTTTACTAAATGAGTCATGACTGGCTGTCCAACAACATGAATCACTTTCTACAAAGGACAAAGTTCTCATCTAAAAAGTGAAGCCCTGGACAATCTGAACAGTTCCACGTGCAAAAATCTGTAATATGAGACATTTTGGTTCAGACCAGCAACAGCTCTATGACCCTAATAAAAATCTTCCTTCCCATTCTGTCTGACTGATACCTAGAACCTCCAGAAGCAATTCCACGTAGGCCAACGGAGTTGACACATTGATCTGGTAGTGCAGAGTGTTTAAAACAGCAAGCTCCGACTCCAGCAATTCCTGTTTAGTGTAGGAGTATTTTAAGGATTGCAGAAATTTTAAAGCTGTGTCACTGGTCACTCTCTGAAGAGGAAAAAGAGACAAAATGTCTTCTAGGCAATAAGGCTCTTGGTGGGAACAAAGTGATCCATTACCTCTCTCCTCCTGCAGAGCACCAAGGCTGCCACTCACCCGCCTGTCCTTTGAGCTGGCATGGGAAATCCAGCTCTGACCTTTCCTACAGGTTTCCTTGGCTCAATAAACCATCCCCAGGCAGGTGTGAACCCCTGTGGACACACAATTTTTGATAACCACAGGCCAGGATTTTCCTGCACTTTTTTTTCCACCCAGAACTGGGAACATTTCCCAGCAATTTATTACTGGATGAGCAGCAACTTCCCTGCCCTAAGGGGAATATCGTGTCCTTGGCATTTCATTATCACTACTGTCTTTCAAAAAGGAAATCTATTTTTAAGAGATTAATACACTGCAAATTTAACCACGCTCCTAAAGCAAGGGCAGGCTGAGCAGGCTTACACTGTAGTGCAGAGAGAGTTTGCTGGCGAGCTGAACACACGACACGAGTCGCAGGACAAAGGTGTTGACTATCTGATCCCTCACAGAGCTCCAGCTGCTCTTCTGGCCTTGGCCACGGCCTTTAGTGTTCCCTCTGTCATCACACATCTGTTCTACTTGCTTGATCATAAACCTACAAAACCCATAACTGCTCAGAGAATGGTTCTGTCTGCTGAGAAAAAGGAAGAAAGGCAGTTCCACGTATACTTAAGAGTATATGTGGAACTAATAATTCAGGTTAAAAGAATGAAGAGACAAAGCTCTTCAACACCCACATTTGTCACGTGTGGTTTGGGTGAGTGGGACAGAGTGGGACAGGGCATGGGCAATATAACCCCATCAGAGAATGGGAAATGTGCTCAGTTGTTAGGACTCTTAGTACCTTTCAAGTAACTCCACTGCCTGGTACCGTGTTGAGTGGTTCAAGTGCCATTTTTCAGACAAAAGGAATATAAATTCTGCAAAAAGCACAGCACTCATTTCAGTCTCCCGAAGCTCACTGTACAGCTGTCAGCTGCCCCGGGAGCTGCTGTAGCTAAGTCTCACCTACGATCCGTGTCTCTTTGAAGCACCCAGCCTGCTCTGGCAGCTCGCTCAGGTACTGCTCATTCTCCGTGGCCAAGTGGATCAGTGTGTCCTCGATAATTTCAGGAGCAACTCCACTGAACACGGGGCCTGAGTCACGGCCCCGGGGTTCCAATGGCACCTGAGACCCCATTTAACGGGTCCGGGCCGAAGCCGTAATGACAATGATTTCACCGGCCCCACAGGGAGAGGCCGGGACAGGGCAGCGCCGGCTCCCGGCTACTCCGAGACAGCGCTGGGACGGGACGGGACGGGACCGGACAGCCCCTGGGTGCGGGCGCGCTCGGGGAGGGGCCCAGGGGGTTTGGCTGCGAACCAGGGGCGGGGGTTCGGGCAGGGCCCGGGGGGTTCGGGCAGGGTCCGGGGGGGTTCGGGCAGGGCCCGGGGGGTTCGGGCAGGATCCGGGGGGGTTCGGGCAGGGCCCGGGGAGTTCGGGCAGGGCCCGGAGAGTTCGGGCAGGGCCCGGGGGGGTTCGGGCAGGATCCGGGGGGGTTCGGGCAGGATCCGGGGGGGTTCGGGCAGGGCCCGGGGGAGTTCGGGCAGGGCCCGGGCCCGGCTCAGGCCCCGCTCCGGGGCAGCGCCTCAGCACCGTCCCATTCACGTGACCCCTCTCCTCCAATCAGCAGGCGCCGGTACCGCGACCGGCACGCGCTGGGCCTCAGCCAACCACTCGACGCCGCGCGCGGCTCGGGCCCTCCGATTGGCCAGCGCCCCCGCCGGATGTTGCGTCATACCGCCGCGCGGAGACGGCGGGGGAAGATGGCGGCGCCGGGGCAACCGGGGGAGGAGGCGGCGGCGTTCGCGCGGCGCATCGACCCGGCCCGGGAGCCGGGGCTCAGCCCCGAGCAGCGCCGCCTCATGGCGCAGGTGGAGTACGCCCAGCGCCAGCGCGCCCTGCAGCGCCGGCTCCGCAGCCGCAACGTGCTGCTTGCGCTCGGCATCGGCGCGGTGACATTCGGCATCTGTATCCTCCGGGACCGGGGCACGGTGGGGCCGGGGGGCTCCGGGGCCGCGCCCGCAGCTTTTCCTTAATTCCCCCCGCAGACGGTTACACCTTCTACTCGGTGTCGCAGGAGAAGTTTCTGGACGAGCTGGAGCAGGAGGCGGAGGCGGCGCGGGCCCGGGCCCGGGAGCGAGCCGAGGGCGCCGCAAGCTGAGCGGGGAGCGCCCGGCCCGGCCCGGCCCGTGACTGAGCTCCGCCCTCAGCAGACAGCACGGGCCTCGAGGAAGATGCGTCTGAGTGGTTCGGGCCTGCCCCGTGCTCTGCTTTGGGCAGGAGAAGGCGCCGGGGGCTCCCCGCAGGCAGGGCACCCCCGCGGGCAGAGCCGTGCCCATGGGAAGGACAGGGACACTCGGGTGTCACCACTCCTCACAATAAATCCTCTCACTGGAGACCGTGTCAGCGCCCATTGTCATGCATCTCTTGGGCTGAGCCCCGCTCAGGATCCCGCCCTGCTGAGAGGGAGGTTTCTGTGTTGCTTTTTAATGTCACACAGCGAGGCGAGCAGCCACGCGTCCTGCCCGACAGACACACACGCACAGCCAGTTTGTATTCAATCCGTGTTTATGAAAACTCTTTCCCAACACCAGTTCATAACAAAGCGCTCCTGGTGCTCCGGCAGGCGGGGCCACAGGGAGCTGAAGCCGATCCGCAGGGTGGGTGGGCTCTGCTGCAGGGCTGAGCTGCTGGCAGGGCTGACAGGCAGCGCGCCCTCAGGGCGGGCTCAGCTCCTTACAGCCACGAAGATGGAGACACCTCGTACGTGTCCTCCAGCAAAAGGGCTGGGGACAGGGGGCAGACCCCTGTGGGACAGCTCTGCACCAGGCCAGCACTGCCGCCCCTGCCAAGCCCACGGCTTCCCTGCTGCTGCGGGCTCCAGCCAGGGGGAGCAGGGAGTCCGGGCTCCGGGAGGTGCGGGGGCTCCGCCCGCCCCGGGGCAGCAGGCACTTGGATGAGGTAGTTCATGGGATCACTCTTGGCCAGCCGGCTACTGGGGAGAGAAGCAGCCGTGAACGGAGCGCCACGGGATCGGCCGGGAACGCCGTGGGGTCCGCCCCTGTCCCTTACCATGCGCCCGAGGTCGTCGGCGAAGGTGACGCCCTTGCTGAGGCGCTGCTCCTGCGAGCCCGTGCTGCTGCCGCTCAGCGAGTTACGGCGCATGATGCCTGCGGGGACAGCGGCCCTGAGTGAGGGCAGCCCAGCCCGGGGGTCCCTGTCCTGCAGCCCCCGCCCAGCCCGGGTGCCCGGGAGGGAGCGGGGAGCGGGGCCGGCACCTGCGGGCTGCGCCAGCTCCAGGCGCTGCAGGCTGTTCCGACGGGAGGGGTTAAAGCTGCCCTTGGAGAGGCGGCGCTGGCGGCTGGACAGCATCGCGGCGGGCGAGACGATGCCCAGCGGCGGCTGCTTCCCCATCCGCAGGTACAGCTCCTCGATCTCCTTCTTCTGGGCGCTCTGCAGCTGCTGCACCTCAGCCAGGTGCCTGCGGAGAACACAGGGGTTGGCAGCGGGGCCTCGGGGAAGGGACAGCGAGCTCCCCAGCCGGCCTGGGTGGGAAGATCTGTTGCCTCCCAGGTGCGGCCCCCCTGCTCACTTCTGGCGCAGGTTCTGCAGCTCCTCCCAGATCTCCTCGTCTTCACTCTCAGTGTCATCGCTGCTCACGTAGGACAAGCTGCGAGAGTAGCTCAGCCACACCTGGCTCAGCATGGCCTGCGGCGCATTTTCTGTGCTCTCTTCCCCAGGACCCTCCCCTGGGTCGCTCCCCACTGGCACCGCAGGCATCGTGCCCCCCTCGGCTGACACCTCCTCAGCCTTGGGGTCTCTCTCCGCCGCCTCCAGAGGCACATCCGAGTCGCTGCTTGAGCTGTGGCTTGTGTCGGGCACCGTGGGCGGCGGGGAGCCGCTCGCTGCCGGCTCCGTGCTGTGCTGCTCCCCGTCACTGCTGCCCAGCACCGGAGAGGTCACAGCCAGGTCCTTGGCTGGTACTACCTGGAACCGGCCCAGGACCTGGGGCTTGGCTTCTGTTGGGGACAGGGGCAGCTGGTGGGGTTCAGGGCACATGGGCTGGCCGGGGCGTTGCAGAGCCCTGGCACAGGCACAGCCTTGGTGCTGCCCCCGTTTTACCTTCATTGATGGGTGAGAGCTGGGCCTTGGGCACGCTGGGGGCTGGTGCCTCTGAGATGATCAGAGAATGGCTGGGCTTGGGGGCACCTGGCAGCACCTGTGGGCACCTGAATACCATCAGCAGCCCCACCCCAGGTCCCGCCACATCTCCTGTCCCCTCTGTGCCCTGGGATCTGCCACCCACTCAGCCCTCCCTGCACCCCAGTGGCTCCACAAGCCACGAGGCTCCATCCCATTCCAGTGCAGCATCTGCAGCAGCCACCCAGCCTTCCTGACAGCCCCTGGACACCCACACTCACCGTGCCGCCCTCTGGACTCCCAGCTGTGGATGTGCTCAGCAGCTGCAGAGGGCTCCCCACGGCCTCGCTGCCTGTGGGGCACATTGGGGCTGGTGCCAAGGGGAGGGAGGATATGGGCAGCCCAGCAGTGGGGACATCAGCTCGCACTGACTCCAGGATCCCACTGCCAGGTGGGACTGGCTTGTCTGTGCTGGTGGGGTCGGGGTAGACAAAGCGTGGGGCACTCAGGACAAGACTCTGTGGCCGTGGCAGCAGCGGTGGGTAGAGGTGCCCACCTGAGCTGGCAATGGAGGAGACAGTGTGGGCCACGGTCATCACTGCCAGGGAGAAGACATTGGCCAGGGACAAGAGGGGGGCAGTGGGGGACAAAGGTGTGCTGGTCACAGGAGGGCTCAGGGGACTGCTGGGCTCACAGGGAACGGGGGATGTGGGGAGAGGCTGGGGGGACAGGAGGGCTTGGGGCAGGGCTGGGGGAACAGGCCCCCCTGGGGTCCTCTGGGGAGTCAGTGTTGGTGTCAGTGCTGGTGACGACGTGAGCCAGGAGGGAGTCATCGAGGCTGAGCCTGCAGGGAGAGAATCATCAGGAGCAGCCCCCCAGGGCCCTGCCTTACCCCTGCCCAGCACCTGGAGCCAGCGAGCAGCTGGCAGCCCCAGAGCAATGAACATGCCTGCCCTGCCAGCACTGGTACCTGTGGGGGACCGTAGTGGCACCGGGGCTGCCAGCGGCTCCACAGGACTGGCCAGGTTGGTCTCCGATGGGGAGCGGCTCAGCAAGGGCAGGACGGGGGACTGGACAGAGAGGCTGGGACTGGTGCAGCTCAGGTCTGTGACACAGGGGTGACAGCCAGGCTCAGCCAGGGCAGGACACGTCCTTTGAGACCCTCTGGGCTTGGCTGAGGCCATTGCCTGCCCTGCACGGGGCTTGGGGAGACGGGAAGGGCCTGCACAGGGGCACTGACGTACCACTGAGTGAGGATGAGGAGATGGAGCGAGAGAGCCCCTGCAGCTGCAGGTCCACCTGTGAGAAGGATGAGCTGAGCCCAGCACTGGGGCAGAGGCCCCAGCCAGGCTGTGCCAAGCCCCCGCTGGGCCCCACCCTGTGGGGACAGGAGCTGGAGACTCTTCTGGGCTGGGGAGCACCTTGACTTGTCACAGGAGCGGGCAAGTGACCACAGGAGGATCCTGCACCCCAGCCCTCCCCCCTGAACTCCCTGGGGCCAGGCAGCATCCCAAGCCATGCTCAGCAGCAGCAGCAGCAGCTTCCCCAGCGCTGGCAGGGCCAGGCTGGCACTCACGGGACTGCCCACAGCACTCTCAGCCTCGGGGCCCTTGGGCAGCTCGGTGCCGCTGCGCCCGTCCTTGCGGAGCAGGGTCTCCACACGGTGGATGATGTCCCGGATGCAGTTGATGAAGCTGTCCCGCTCCGACTTGAGGATGAATTCATTGTGGACCTGAGGGTGGAGGGGCTGGTCAGCACCCAGCCCAGCCAGGCAGACCCCACCTTCACCCTCACCCTGCTCTCACCATGGCGGCTGCAATTTCCTCCGGGTTGTCCCCATCCAGGTCGAACTTGAAGGTCACCATCTTGTTGTTGTAGGTCTGCAGCTGGCACTCCACCACTCGGTCACTCTTGTCGGAGATCTGTGGGTGGCAGGGCTGGCTCAGCTTGGGAGAACCTGCCTGGCACCTGCCTGGCTCCTGCCCGGCACCTGTGGCACTCACGTTGGTGATGCGCAGCCTGGACCGGGCTCGGCGCCGCAGCAGCTTCCCCGAGGCTCGCTTGGGCGGCAGCTTAGCGCTCTGCTCGCTGGCCGAGAGCCCCTCACAGCCATCACTCATGCCCGACGCCACATCTGAGGTGTAGCTGCAGGAAGCCCCAGCTCTGGAGCATCAGCATGGCCGTTCCCAAGTACCACACTCCCTGCCCAGCCCCTGCCTGACCCCCAGCCTCACCTGTCCACAGAGGAGGAGAAGCCGCTGGCAGGTGGCAAATGCTCAGTGGGCAGCTGCACGGCGATGCTCTGCAGGGAGAGGAGGGGGTGAGCCGGTGCCGCAGCTGCCCCGAGCCCCCGCCCGTGGGGCCGTGCTCACCGTGGGGAAGCAGCGCACGGGCCGGGTGGGCGGTGGGCTGGTGGGGTCCACTGCAGCAAAGCTGCGATGGGCCAGGTCTGGGGAGTCCAGGAAGCCAGAGGAGCTCAGGTACCCATCCGTCTCACAGTCGGCTGTGGAGGAGTGCTGGCATGAACCGAAGCCAGTCCCTTCCCTGGCTGGGCAGCTGGGAAAGGGCTGTGGGGCTGGGAGAAGTTGACAAAGCCCCCCACCCACCTCCCACCCCAGGTGCCCCGGTGCCCACCCAGCCGTTGCCCCTTGGTGCCTACGCACAGGTGGCCGACGAGTAGCTGGTGTGCCGGTAGGTAAAGTGCTGGTGCTGGTCAGCTTCGGGCTCCTCAGGCTCCAGGGGGAAGGTGCTGCTGAAGGCAGAGTCCCCAGAGCCAGGGGTGGCCAGGGCAGGCGTGGGGGCACCAGGTGACAGCGGGGACTTGAGCTCCTCCAGCAGCCGCAGGACACCCGGCGGCTGCTCTGTCTCCGCGGGCGATGGCGCGTCCTGGGCGCGCTTCAGCTTCTCCCGCTTGCGCTTGATGGCGACCACCCGGTCCCGCACGGCCTTGGCCACCAGCTTGTAGTCAGCCTCACAGACAAAGCCCAGGACCACCTGCACAGGAGGGAGCTCGTCACTTCAGGGTGTAGGGACCCCGCAGCACCCAGGGCTCCCCCATCTCTGTACCCACCATCTCCTGAGCCACCTCCTCTGCCACATCCTTGTAGAGCTCAAAGAGGAACTCGATGGCGTTGTTGTCCTTGTACTTGCCGTGCAGCTTCTTTGTGTCATCCATGCGCAGCCAGAGCTTGAGCCCAGACTTGACTCCATCATCCTCCTCAGCCAGCTCCACATGCACCCCTGTGTCCTCCTGGAAGAAGGAATGCTCCAGCAGGTCCTGGATGGTGTACCTGCAGAGAGCACAGTTCAGCACAGGCTCGGGGCCAGGGGGGACCCTGCCACCCCGGCCCCACTCTGCTCCCACCTCTCGTTCTTGTCCATGCGGATGCAGCCCTCAATGATCTCCTTCAGCTCGGGCACCTTCACCTTGTAGAAGCTGCTGGGCTTCAGGCCCTGGGGGTAATGAGAGTGAGCACCTCCTGTGCCAACCCTCCACAGCACGGGGCTCCTGGGGCCAGGGAACAACCAGCCCAGGGCCCCACGAGCTCTGCAGCAGTTCCTGTGGCCAGGCCACGTGTGCCTGCACGGGCCAGGATGCCCCAGGGCTCTGAGTTTCCATCCCAACAGGCAGGAGCTGGCTGTGACCGGTCAGGGCAGTTGCAGTGCCCCAGGCCAGGGTGACTGAGCAGACTGCTCCCGTTCCACCCCATTAACACACTGGCAGTGGCTGGTGCAGAGCCAGGGATGTGGGATCTGGCCAAGCCATGGCCCCACCGCCACCACCCACAGCTCCATGGCCTGGCAGAGCAACCCCTCACTGCCCAGACTAACTTCAGCCACTCACACAACCTGCACAGTGACACATTTTGACAGCAGCAAGGCCTGACAGCTCCAGCTGACCATCCCAGCCCCTTGCCCCGCTTCCTGTGGGATCAGCCAGCAGCATCACCCGCAGCTGGGGCCGAGCCTCACCGAGGTGACCTTGCGGTAGATCTGGGCGGCGTTCTGGCACTCTGAGTAGGGGTACTCCGAGGTGGCCATCTCCAGCATGCACATCCCAAAGGCGTAGACATCCACGGCCTCGTCGTACTTCTCCTCGTACATCTCCGGCGCCATGAACTCGGGGGTGCCTGGAGGCAGCAGTGCAGCTCAGGACCCCGGGGATGTCCACCCCCTGCAGCCCCCACAGCTCCCACCAGCCCGGCCCCACCTATGACACTCTTGGCAAAGGAGGCTCGCTTGAGTGTGGCCAGGCCCAGGTCCCCGATCTTGACTGAGCCCGTGGGGCCCGTGATGAAGATGTTGTCACACTTGAGGTCGCGGTGGATGATGGGGGGCGAGCGAGTGTGCAGGAAATGCAGACCCTTGAGGATCTGCCGGCTCCAGCGCTGCAGCACCTTCAGCTTCATCTCTTTAAAGCGCTTCAAATACCTGCCGGGGACCACCAGGGCTCAGACCTGGGGCTCAGAGTCGTGCCCCAGCCTTGGCTCCAGCCCACCCTCCTCCCGTTGCCGTGCCAAGCCCGCCCAGACTCAGATGAACACACAGGGCAAGCAACAAAGAGCATCTTAGCAGGGACCCTGTTCCCTCCCCCGCACGCCCCAATCACGTTTTCAGGGTGCCAGACGTCATGAGTTCTGTGACCAGCACGATGCAGATCTGGCCTTTGATAGTTGACTTCCAGGAGTCGTAGAAGCGGACGATGTTGGGATGCTGCAGCCCCTTCAGCATCTCCACCTCCTCACTGAACCGCTGCCGCTCCGTCTTTGACAGCTTCCGTGTCTGTGGGAGCCAGGGGGGGTGTGAGGAGGGCACGTGGGGTCCTGCCCAGCACAGGGGGGTCCCCTGGCTACAAAAGACCCTCACGTCCCCATCCCCACTCCCGACAAGGCAGAGGAGGCTTCTGTGGTCCCAGCACAGAGCCCGGGTCAGACCTGCTGTCGCCCAGCACAGTGGCACACACGTGGCTGGGGCCACCCTGGGCTGTGGTCCCCCACCAGCCCACCGCTCTGGGAGGGTGCAGGACAGAGGGGGCACCGAGGAATCCACGCAGTTCTCACTGCCCCGTGCTGGGGCCACGTGTCCCCACTCCCCTCACTCAGCTCCCAGCTGGAGCCCACCACACTCAGGACAGGAGCCCCACGCTGCAGCTGGCGGGGACGTGCGGGGGCTCTGCAGAAGCCGCTGCCATCCTGCCCTGTGCAGACCCGATGGCCGTGGCTCTTCTGCCCCCGCTGGGGCACCATCAGCACTGGGCTCTGCTGGCTGAGTGCTGGGCCAGCCTCAATGAGGCCTTTGTTGGGGAAAGCAGGCGGGGGAGGCTCCAGCCCAGGTTTTTCCATGTTCCTCCTGCTCGAGTTAATTAAAGTGGAAACACAAGCCGAGGGTGCTGACTGCAGCTGGGGCAGGGGCCAGCGGAGGGGCGGCCCCCTCATCCTGAAGGGACACAGCCCCAGGATGCGGGAAGAGGGGAGCTGACTGGCCAGAGCTAGAGGAGCCAGGTCCAGCCCCAAGCACGGCAGCGAGAGATCAGCCCTGGGCAGGGGCAGGAGCAGTGGCAACTCCACCACAGCCTGGGGTCCTGCAGAGCTCAGCTGCTGCAGAGCCTGGGGGCCTCCAAGCTGGGACCCCTGCCCAGCCCACATTCAGAGGCCAAGGAAACTGGAGCTGCCACAAAGCTCCCACCACCAGTGCTGCCAGAGCTGTGCTCGGCCTCTTGGCCAGTGGCCACCATCCATCAACCCCGTCAGCTTTCGTAATATTTTCATTGCATCACAGGCGGCCCCATGCCTTGGCTGGAGCTGCTCCATAATCCCCCCACATTTAATACATGCTCGGGGACAGGCTCAGCCCAGACGAGAACCTGAGCCTGCTGCAGCGGCATGAATGGGACCTTTCATATGGAAGGAGGAAAACAGCACCCGAACCCCTGCACAGGCAGCAGCACACAGCAGCTTCCCCGCCCAGTGCCACCGCCACCATCACCCCCCCGGCCCCCTCCTCCCCACCGAGAGGTGTCCAGAGGCTCCACTGCACCCCACAAACCTGCAAGGGCATGAGGAAGCTGACACGGGCTGTGAACTGGTGGGGAGTCATGAGTGGCACAACTGCTCTCCCAGCTCAGCGAGAGTGGAGAGCAGTTGTGCCATGCCCAGTTCCAGGCAGAGCCCCAGCACAAGGCCAGCTCTCCCAGAGTGGCTGGAGTAAGGTCTGGGGGAGCCAAGCATGTCCCCCAAGCCTGTGCCAGGGCTGCTGGGCTCACTTGGCATCGTTCCTTCCACACGACCAAAGTGGCAGCAGCTCCCGCTCCTGTGCGTGCTGATCTCTCCCTGTTGAGTGTGGGCATCAAAGCCCAGCCTGGCTGGAGGAACACCGGGAAGGGCAGGGCAGGGCAGACAGGGCTGCCAGCACAGACATGGCACACAGCATGGGCACACCATGTCCTCTCCTAACAGCACCCGCACAGGGTGGAGGAGGACACCGGGGATGGTGGCATGGGGACCATGAGGAGCTGGGTGGCAATGGTCCAGCCCATCCTGTGAGCCAGGAGCTGGCTGCTGAGGAGCCCAGCACAGCCAACACCAGGAGCTGAGGCCAGCACAGGAGTCGGGAGGGTGGGATGGAGTGGCCGAGGGCGGCTGTTGCCTCTGCGGCAGGAGGCTGTCCCCAGCTTGGCAGCGCTGGTGCTCAGTGCTCTGCAGCGCTCACAGGGCTCTGCCATCCCGCAGCCCTCGGCTGTCCTGCTCCTGCAGCCCTCCAGGGCCCTGGCTCTGCACTGCCACTTGTACTCTGGAGGGGGCATTCAGAGCAACACCGTGCTGGGGCACAGATCCAGCGCTGGAAAGTGCCCGGCACTCTGGCCCCAGCCGCGTCCACAGGCACAGGGAGGTCCCGGGCACCCGAGAGGAGCCAGCTCTCTGTCAGCAGTGGGTGCCACTGCCCTCCCTGTGGCTCTGTCCTGCCGAGCAGGAGCTTGTGCTCACAGCCATGTGAGTGCACACACAAGGTGCCCTGCAGCCCCAGGGCTGCTGGCTAAGGTTACCTGCCCAACCTGGGCGCCGGAGCCAGGGGAGGTACGGCAGTGCCTGCTGCCCTGAATGCTCTTGCCCACCGGGGAACCCCAAGGGGTTCCACAGGAAAATCATACAGTCAGGTATTTACAGCCCGACCCCACTCTGGGCCTCTGGTTTCCTCCCTGCTTCCTCTTTCCCCACCGCCCGCAGCACCTACGACAGAAATAGTGCCAGGCTAAAGCTGGAAAGCACAAACAGTGGGGCTGTGGAGCTGGGCGGGAGGCACAGACAGACGCTGCGTTCAGGAGAGGGGATGGGGATGGGCAGGTCCCCAGAGGGGGCTCACAGGAAGACAGAAGACAGGCAAAACCAGCCTCACCAGGCTCTGGGCAGGGAAGGACAGGACAAGGACAGTAGGGACAGCTAGGTTTGGGATTGCGATCCATCACAGCAGCTGTACCAGGTTCTTTGGTGCAGAACAGGTCAGGCCTGAGGTTAAGTATTCATTTGGAATTGAAAGGCAATAGAAGGAGAATTGTGAAGTGCACAGGACAAAGCTATTTTTAAAATAGCAGAACCACAACCATTTTTATTTGTGGTTCCAAATCCCGTATTTGTGTCACAGTGTCCAATTCTTTGCATGATTGCTGAAAAAAACAAACTTCTAAATGTCTGCATCTGTGCTCTTAGCCCTTGTGGGACACGGATTTGGATACAAGAGACACTGGATAAAGAGCAGTCAGTGGAACGGAGCCAAATACAGGGTGGGGAGGGGAGAGGGCTGGGGCAGGGGGGTTGCAGGACAGGCACGGGGTGGGAGCAGGGACCTGGCTGCACTCCCGTGGGAGGGTGAAGGCTGAGAGGGGTCGGGTCTGCCAGGTCTTCAAACACCATGGGATGCCCACAGGAGAGTCCCCAGCAGGAGCTCAGCCTGGACCCCAGCCTCTCCACAACCACCCCAGGGGACAAGTGAGTGGCTTCTGCCACTCCTGCCTGGTTGGCTCACACCACCAGCAACGGGGCCAGCATGTGCCTGCTGGACTGGGACATGGAAACATTTTGCTTCCCAACTCCTTTTTCCACTCCTGAGACGGTGCGGGCTCATCCCCTCCAGCACTGCCTGCACACAGGCACAGGGAAGAGCAGGGTGCAGGGAACGAGACGCTGCCAGCCCTGCTGGGTGCCAGGCCCTAGGGCAGGGGAGCTGAGGCACAGCTGTGACATGGGGCTGAGACCCACAGGGAAGCACTGGGGACAGCTGACTCATCCAGAGGAGGAAGGTCCTGGGCTCACCAAGCAGCTGTTCCAGTGAGTGGTTGCCACCTGAAGGGACTCAAGAGAGCTCAGGAGCATTTGGACAGAGCTGTGGGGCTTTGTGAAAGCCGGAGAACTGAGCTGGCTCTGAACTGAACTCTCAACAACTGAAGCAATTGTGTAACCCATGGGGGTGGTGGGCAAATCTTCACCTTCCTCACTCAGAGGCCATAGTCAGCCCCTCTGGAAACCACCTGCCAGTCTCTCAGGATCTCTTCTTGCCCTGCTGGGCTGCAGCCACTCCAAGGACCCAGCCCAGGCAGCTACCTGCAACTGCACTGAGCTTTTAGGAACAAGACAACAAACTCGCAAGACACGTTTTTCTGTGTCAACAAGGACTTGGACCTTCCCACCACAGCAGCCATCCCAGGGTTAGGAGCCTGTGGGAGACTTTGGACCTCACCAAAGCCCCTCCCCAGGGGCTCCAAGAATAAAAGGTAGTCCCACAATGCAGATCTCCCTGGGCACCTCCATGGACAAGATCAGGCTCATCAAAAGCACTTGAGTGGGCAAAGGCATTGTGGAGGCAACACTATCACCACTGCTCTCAGCATCCTGCTGTCAGGCTGCAAGACAGCCAAGGAGATGGAGGAGTGTGGCAGCAGAGAGGAGACGGGGACACTCCTCAGAGACCTGGAAGCACAGGTCCAGCTGCAGGCTGAGAGCCCCTGGCAGCATCACAGAAACCACACGTAGGTGACCACGTACACCACTTCAGCCAAGGTCAAGCAGGCAGAGAGCACCAAGGTCGTGCTGTACCCTGCTCCCAGCTGACAGCCAGCCCCAGCTCGCTGCAGGCACATGCCCCAGAGCGCACCAAGGGCTCTTGGAGCAAACTGTGGAGGCAGCTCCAGCGCAAGCACAGGCAGGCATGCAGAGAGGGCACTGCTGCTCTCGCTGTCCTCCTGGAGGGAAAGCTGCGAGCTGGTAGCATCAGAAAGGCAGTGGGATGCTCAGCCCCAAATCCACCTGTAAAGTGCCAGAGCAGGGACTGGCATCAAGAACATGGGCACCCTGGCACACTCCATAGTGCAGGCAGCAAGAAAGCAAATGGAAAACAGCACGTGATGAGCAGGAGGGCCAGGAGCGGCGGCACTAAGCAGGAATCTGGATCCGGGCCAGCAGACCCACGAGGCACCGAGGCACTGGCAGTGATGGGCACAGTGCAAGGCAGCGAGGGGAGCCCGCACCCACCTGCAGGTCCCTGCCCTGCCCTTCTGCTGTGGCCCGACTGCAGCGGGGCACCACAGTCACTGGCAGAAGCGAAGGCTCGAGGGTGCCCGCCCTCACCGGCACAGGCTTCATCCCGGGGAGGTGCCCCGTGGGTCCCGCACAGCACCCAGACAGGCAGCAGTGGGCAGCAGGGTCAGGGCCGGGGAGGGCTGCACACGCCAGGGAAACTGGACGGAAGAGGGTCCAAGAGCCTCCCTCGAGCCCCTTGCCCCGGGGCGGGGGCCTGGGGGTGCGGGCAGGTAGGGGTGGAGGCGCTGGCAGGGGCCGTACCTGCAGCTCGCACCAGGCCACCTCCACGGTGGTCTCCGTGTCCAGCCCCTTGTAGACGGTCTTGAAGGAGCCGCGGCCGATCTCGATGTCGAACTTGAGGAACCGGCCGTCGGGGGAGGTGGCGACCGCCCGCGTCTCCACCTCCTCGCTCTCCGTCTCCTCGGGTTCCCGGAGCTCGACAGCGGCCGCCGGCGGCGGCGACCCCCCCCGGGCTCCGTCCGGTGCCGGGTACCCCAGCAGCTCCAGCTCGGCCGAGCTCCGCCGGTTGAAGCGGGAGGAAGCACGTCGGGAATCGCGCCCCGAGGGCCGCCGGCTGCGGCTACGATGCGGGGTCCGTCCGGTGAGCCCCGGACCCGGCTCCGGCTCCGGCGCGGAGCCGCTGTCCGCCCGCTCCGCCTCGGGGTGGGACATGGCTCCGGCAGCGGCGGGCTCGGCCGCCAGCATCGGCTCAAGCCCGGTCGGAGCGGCCGCTCCCGCGCAGCTTCGTACCCGTTGCCTCCGCCACCCCGCAACCGGGAGCGACCGCCGAGACCCGGTCCGGCACCGGCCCCGGCACCGCCGCCGCTGCCCCGCCCGGCGGCACCGCCCCCGCCCCGCCCGGGCCCGCCCCCGTGCGACCGCCGCCCCCCGCCTGCGCTGCGCCACCGGCCCCGCACCGGGCCGGGGCACCGACACCGCACCGGCACCGCACCGGCCCCGCACCGGGCCGGGGCACCGACACCGCACCGGCACCGCACCGGCACCGCACCGGGCAGGGGCACCGACACCGCACCGGCACCGCACCGGCACCGCACCGGGCAGGGGCACCGACACCGCACCGGCACCGCACCGGCACCGCACCGGGCAGGGGCACCGACACCGCACCGGCACCGCACCGGGCAGGGGCACCGCACCGGCACCGCGCCGACACCCACCGGGCAGCGGCCCCGGCCCCGGGACGCTGCAGCTGCAGACACGGGCTGCGAGCAGCGGCGAGCGCCCCGCGCCCCGGCAGCGCTCCCGACCAGCCCGGGATGCCGGGATGTCCCCTCCCAGCCGGGAGTCAGCGCCTGGCGCCCACCCGGAGCCGCTCCTTGCCGTCCCCTCCCCGCAGGACAGCCCCTTCCCTGCCGCCGCCCCCGTGGGGCTCCGGGGCTGCTGTGACTAACGCAGCCGGAGCAGGGACGGAGGAACGTCCCTGCTTTAAACATTTCCTCCGAGTTTCTGACTCGGGTCCCGGAGCAGCATGTCCTGGAGCAGCCGAGTCCCACTGCCGGGACGCGAGTTCCCCCTCACGCTGCCCCAGACAATCCCGCTCGGGTTCACTACGGTCCGAAATCCTGAAATTAGGGTCACGCAAATAGGAAGAGTCGAAGGTGTGTGTCAGCCCCGCGGGAGCCAACAGCCGGACAAGAGCGTGTTGTCTCTCCAGGCTGAAGGAGAAGGTTGTTCTGCCGGTGAGGCTGTTTACACAAAACACAAAGCAATTGAGGCCACCGCTAATTTATTTTCCCTGAGGTCAGATTGTTTCTACTCAACGATACCGGAAACATTAAGGAGTGGATCGACAAGGGAATACAGTCACGGTCTCCTAAACGCTAACCTGGCACCCGCAGGGTGACTGGGGCTGCTGACCTGCAGCTCGGCTGTGGCCACGTCCCGCACGGCTGCTCCCCACAAATCCCTGCTGGCAACAGGGAGGGACAAGCATTTAATGAAATGCTCCTGTCCAACCTGTGTCAAACTGCTGGTCTCTGCTTTGCTACCTCCACCCGACCCAGCTCTTCCTGCCCAAAGCTTCCTCTCCAGCAGCAGAGGAGCCGGGTACCTCCTTCCCAACCAGGAGTTTGGCCGATGGAGTACTGCCGGTCCTGGCCGGTGTGCAGGGAGCAGCAGGCACATCCCCAATCAGCTCTGCTCTGCTTGGAGCATGTGAGGGGCACGGTCCCAGGTGAGCAAGCAGTGCTGGCAGAACACCACGTCCAGCACCGGCCCCTGCAGGGCTCTGCCCATGGCCACCGGAGCCAAAAGGCCAAGGCTGGCACAGGTGCAGTGCTTGCACTGGCCCTGCCATGGGTGACTCTTGGGTTGTGAGATGCAACATGGTTCGACTCAGCTCTGTTAAACGACGCTCTTTGTTCAGGTGAGCCTTGCCCAGAACCTGCCCGCTTCTCAGCATTGCCACAAAGGGGGGAATGCTGCCCCAGGCCCTGTAGGTTGACTCTGTGGCTGCCCCCATACAGGGGTCCCTGCCAGGGCCCATGCACTGCCCAGGCTCAGGAACGCAGCCCAGGCTGGCAGGGAGCCCCAGGTATCCAACAAGAGACACAGAGCCCGGTAGGGATCTCAGCTTGGTTCCTGGCAGGCTCATGTCTCCTTATCAAGGGTTTCCATCGTGAAATGAGATGCCTTGGAAAATCCCAGAGGAGCAGGGGAGTATCCCAGTCCAGTGAGGCCCCTGCAGACAGGAGAGGAAATTAGGGGTGAAGTTTGCTGCAGCTGCTGCCCTCCCACACATCCCTTGTGAGTGGTCTGAGAAATTCCCTAAATGATCCCGCAAACGCCGCTCCACAGCAGAACTTGGCAGGGGGGAGGCAGCTCAGGCAGGGGAACAGGTCCTCTCCTGACCTGGCCAGGAACACCAATCTACAGCCAGCTTGGCCTGAAACCAGAAGGCTCCTGTTCCACAATCAGGCGCCCACTGCAGCTCCCCAGCGCTATCAGGGTGACATTTCTGGGCTGCAGGTGCCAGTGCCTGCCTTCGCTTTGAGGAACCGCCACAATCAGAGAACATAACCCATTTCTCGCCTGCATTTGGCTGCCAGAAAGAGTACAGAGGACTGTGCAATCACTCTCCTCAGAATTAGATCATGAATCAAAGCCCTGCTCAGCTCCAGGCTCCACCAAGCCCTGCCAGGAATTGTCTGTTCTGATCCCAGAGCTTGGGGCAGGATCACAGAAGGGCCAGGGTGGGTCTGGATGAAGGGGATGTACAATTGGGGCTGCACAGCACAGGGTGCCTGCCCCAGGAGTGCTCCAGAGACACCCAGGGCTTGTTTTAATGTTGGCTTCATCACCCATGGAACCTTCTGTGTCTCTCACCCTAACTCACAGGAGTTCAGGGAGGTAGAGATGGCACCCAAACCTCAGCCGTGGCTGCAACCCTGGGCAGATCACTGCAGAGGATTTCCTCAGCCTGGAGGCACAGATGGGACCTGCCTGCACGTTCATCACAACATATCAAGTTATCAAACTGAAACAGTTCTTGCTCCTGAGCAGCTGCATTAAAATAAAACCTCTCTTGGAATCTTTCCTCTTTGACCAGTGGGATCCAAGTGTGCCCAGCCTGATAGTGCCTTATCTTGGCCCCAGCCCCTCTGAGCTCTGCCTCGCCCTGGCCAGCGAGCCCTAATCACCACGGCCAGACGTGGCAAGGGCCTCTGAGGGGCCACAGGAGGAGGGGGTTGTGCCAGCTGCTCCCCCCACCCAAAACCACCCTGAGCCACCTCCTCCAGCGAACCCCTCCCCAGGGCTGTGTGGCTGGGCTGGACAGCACCTCCACAGAGGGACATCTGCTCCCTCCAGGGCGGCAGCACCAGCCAGCAGCAGCTGCTCTGCTCCCAGGACTCATGGCACAGCCTCAGCAGTGACACCTCTCTGCAGCAGCACTGCCCAGCCCAGGGAAGCTGGTCCCACGGGGTCCCCCACAGGTACAGCTGGATGTGGCCTCTGTAACCAGCCCAGAGGGTGTGGAAAAGGAATTTTACACAATGTCCACTCTGCAGAGGGGACATACTCTTCCTCCTCCTCCTTCTCCCCCCCCTCACTGAGTAAGCAACTAAATAGGAAGCTGAAAAAGAGAAGGGAATTGCTGCCAGGAGTGCCTTGGAATGAAAAGCTGGTTTTAGGCTTATCTAATGTCACATCAGCCATTTCCTAAGAAGGGAGCAAATTTAATTAAGAACACAGACTCCCTCAAGGACAGCCAGGTTACATACGGCACTCCCAGCCTGGAACACGGTGCTGGGAGGTCGGCATCGTGCACACAGACAGCAAGAACAGACACTCCAGGCCGGCTGCTGAAGGCTCATTGTTTGGGATTAAATGCAGACACCTTCAGGCACAGCACCCTGGCTCTCTGCAGGGGTACAGGAGCAGCAGGGCAGGCAGAGCAACCACGGAGGGAAGGGAAAATGCAGGTAGCATGGGGAGGAAAACTGAGGCAGATCTTGGACATGGAAACAAACCCAGGGCAGACACTGGGAGCACATAAATCCTACACACAGACTTTGCGGGCTGCAGACATAGAGGGATGATCCCTGATGAAGCAGCGACTGTGCCAGCTGTGGGGACAGATGCACTGCAGAGCTCGTGGGACATGCCATGGCACAGCCTTTGAGCTGGCTTTGCTCAGCACTGTCAGTGCACAGCAGGACCATGACAGAGCTCGTAGGGGTGGTGGTCCTCAGAAAAGAGCCCACACTAGCCCATTGTGCCAGTGACTCATTACAAGCACTGCTGCTGCCTTTGTTCAGCAGAGAAGTGCTGGCACTCAGGAATTCCTCCACAGCACTGCTGAGCCTGGCATGGAGAGGAAGCCTGGGCTCCAGCACAGTTCCAGAGCAATGTGCCCACACCAGGGCAGCACATCCCACCGAGTTCAGGTCAATGGGCTCCTGCTACAAAACAAATTTTTACATTTCACAGCCCCTAGACTCAGCATCTCACTGACATCAGCTGTCAGGAGCAGGTGAGCCAGTGCTGGGTTGTCCCTGAGGGCAGGGAACACCAGACAGGGGCAGACAGTGGCAGTCTGTGGGGTGCAAGTGTCATCTGCTCTGCTGGATGCCCAGACTGACCACACTGGCCTGACCTGAGGTCACTCCAGCACTGCTCCCAAGCTCTGCCAGTGCCATGCACACAACGATCAGGGCAAGGTGATCCTGTCCCAGCACAGCCATCTGCTTCCCCAGGACCGACAGGGTCAGCAACTGCACCTGGGCCACGGTTTCTGACAAGGTGAGGACTTTGTTATCAGCACTGAGAGACTAAAGCTGAGTCATCCCTCTCCCAGCCACAGTGGTACAGAGCTTACCCCATCACCTCTGCACAAGCCCAGGGGCTTCCAGCAGGCTGCACATGCAAATTTGAAGTAAATGTCCTGAGGAGGGCAGTGAGTGTCCCCACAGGCCACAACTCTGTCAAGTGGAGAAATGCACTTGTGCTGCTGCTTCCCACCCTGGAACCACTGCATTTCCCTGGGGCAGCGAGGAAATATGACTGAAGGGCAGAAATGTGGTACACTGCTCTGTTTTGCTTCTGATGGAAAAATAAAGATAGATGAAAATAGCCAGGCTGCTCTATAAATACATCTCATTTTAATCACCTGAAATTAGTTCCCTGGCTTCCCCCAGCCTGCTTGGCAGCAAGTG